TTGGAAATAATGTTACTCCACCAAAGATGAGAACGAATTACAAATAGAAAAATTATCGAAAGAAGTATAGGAGATGAACAAATGGCAAAGGATATATGAAGAACTTTGAAGGCTCAAACACAATCTTTGATTGTTGTCCTCAAACGAATTTTGCCCCCACTATTTTGGTGTTTAAAGGGTGATCCGGCAAAAGGTTTGAAGGATTAATCAAGCCTTATAGAGATTCAAACACTAAACACTTGTTTGAATCTCTAAAATTTAAGAACACAAAGAAAAGATGAATATGAGAGGGTATTTTATCTTTTGGATTTGATCTCAAGAAGGATCAATATAATAAGTGTTTTTTCAACATTTTTCAATGACCCAAGATCACCTATTTATAGCCAAGTAGTATAGTTTTACGAAGTGGTGCACCTTATGGATGAAAAGCCACCAAAAAATCAACAAAAAACGATCCAACGGTCATTTTTCTGTACCATGCGACCGCATGGTACAATCCTACCGAGACCATATGGTCTCGGTAGAGTTCCAAGCGGTCGCATGGCTTGGTCGCATGGCCTAATTTTTTTTTTTTTTTTTTTTTTTAATTGTTGGTTTTGAACAATTATACCACTTCATAACACCATTATTGTTGTCCTAGTCGCCACCATCACCATCTATTTCTTCCTTCAGCTCACTGTCCATTCCCTTTTGCCAACATGGACTACACATGCTTAAATGGATTTTGTTATTTTAAATTTGGTGTTTTTCAACGATGGAATTTAGGTAAGGTGCTCAAATGGGGGTGGCTATGATGGTGTGAGTGGATTTCATGAATGTGGTGGTAGATGGCATCGCATGAGCCGTGGCAACCGCGATGATGGAGGAAGACACTAATTGGCAATGTGGATTATTTTTTGTCAAAATACGTTGAGTTATGATGGTGACGACTATGCTATTGGTAGAATTCGGATAATGGTGGCAATGTCTGGAAGCTTGATTCCAAGCATAAAATGGTGACAGTCGTAACAAAAGGTGCCAAACGGTTATCCTAAAATATAAAGTAAATACGTATAGGAATGTTCTAATGAGCATTGATACTCATTTTATGTTAAGTATCGGTAACGTGTTATATAAATTTATTGGTATATAAACTTATGGTGGACTTCAAAATTTAAAATAAATTTAAAATTCAGCAATGAATTTATATAACATGTCGCTGATGCTTAATATAAGATAAGTAATGCTCATTAAATCATTCATATATATATATAAGGGTGTCAATGAGCCGAGTCCACTCGTGAGCCTAAACTCCCGACTCGAGCATTTTTAAGGCAAGCCTTTTTTTTTTTTTTTTTGGTCACAAGTCAAGCCAAGCAAAAGCTCAATCAAAAAATTAATGCTCGACCCTAGCTCGCAACTCGAACCTTACCGAGCCGACTCGATTTTCTAGAAATTATTTTTTCTCCTCTTAGCTGCCTATTTGGTAGCTATTTTAACTGTCAAACAGACGGCGGGATTTTTTTTTTTTTTTTAAATTTACAGGCTAGCCAGGCTCAAGCCGACTTCCTGAAATGGGGCTCGGCCCGAGCTAAGGCTCAACCCGAGCCGCGTGTGGCCAGAGCCAACGAACGCGGTTGTCATCCCTGTACACACACACACACACAGAGGGACGGATCCAGGATTGGATCCACGACCGAGCTACAAAATTTCAAACCGGGCTACTATGTGGAAAAAAAAATTTTTACACATAAAAATCTGAATTTTTACCCCCAAAAAAATAAAAAATAGCTTTAAAAAAAAACTCTTGGACCTGGGAGAGGGGGGCTACAGCCCCCCCCCCCCCCCCCCCCCCCCCCCCCCCCCCCCCCCCCCCCCCCCATCCGTCTCTGCACACGCACACACACGAAAGAGTATTCTTAAGATTAGATTATGCATAAAAACATAATTACATACTACTATCATAATTCCCAACATTTTCGAGCATGCATTCAAAAGTTTGTTTCTATTTAATTAACATCACAATGTCCCAATACAATTTTTCCTATTATTAAGTACATTACTTTTTCTCATGCACATTTCTCAAATATTAAAATCATCATGTGTTTTGAGCATAGGTTTGCTTCAAACCATCGCTACACATATTTTAGAGAAATCAAGATAGTTCGATTTTTTGTTGAAAAGAACAAAATCAGAAACCCTCTGAAATTATCACATTGAACGTTGGACATATATGATGGAGGTAGTTGTTGAACCATATCATATTTCCAACAACAAAAGTTGCAAAAAAGGAATCCTCAATATCAATGGGAAATATTTGAACTATATGCAGAACTACAGTACTGGTAGAAAACGGCACTAATTTTGAGTTTCCATTGTTCTGTCTGTCTAGTCTCCATAGAGTGCGGTTCTTAAAACTCAAAATTATTGAATATCACGGCCAATAAAATTGCAATACTCATAAAATATTTACCTCCAAAAAGTTCAATCAGACTACAAAACAAGGTTTGAGGACATTAAGGCACATCTGAAGAGTTGCTAAAGTAGCAATTACATCCAACTGAAAACCATTTCAAGTTATTACGGGAAATAAGCTAATTCATTGTGCACCGATGATTTTACCATAGAAAACAAGGGTCATTAAATTATCACTAGTGGATGACAATACTTCTGAGGAGAACCAATGAGATGCCAAATCTGGGAAGTGATCACCTCCTCACAGGTGGCACGACCCCCCGGCCAGGGGCAGCTCCACGACCTGCAGCCTGAGCCTGCCAATTAAGAAATTTGAGTCAGGTAAATATATTGACAGTGATAAGCGATTATGGGTATTTAACAATGTTTACATTTCTTGTTCTACTGGTTATAGTAGTTATTTAGCAACAAGTTCATTTTTACAAATTGAGATCTATTGTCCAAATTTGGCTGTCCAACTTGCTGTCCACCAATAATTCATTGACATATTATTTTACAACTATTTTGAAGCACAAGTGGCAGTGAGAGGAAAGTTGGACATTTTAATTTAAAGTGATGTGTTAATAAATCATCGGGTGGACAACAAGTTGGACAGCTTATTTTGGACAGCAAATTTTAACTCCATTTCTACTTTCCGTGACTGAAACATTTGGATACCCTCAGACACAGCTGAACTCATGATTAATAAATGAAAATATGGCAGAAAATAACAGCACGAGTTTCAAAATGTGCAGGTGTGAAAAGCATGGCTTGGCCGACTCAGCTATGGAGGACCATGATGAGGCTTGTACTTGATCAAAGAAAAATTGTATAATCTGCCAGCTTGGCACAAACCATGGTGACGAGCAATGGGTACGAGCCCAGACTATTTTGGGCATGCCAATCAGCTGCCTCACAACCCGGCTTTTACCCAGTTCACAACTCCATGACAGGCTGATATAAAGAACTACCTGATACAACATAATTTACATCTCTACAACAGCCTGATACAAAGAATCGACCTGTCATATAACCACTAGGACATATGGGAAACATATAGTAAAAGATGCTCATGTTACAAGGAAAATACAGCTCTAGCACCCAACTGCCAGACCATTTTTGGACAATAGATATCAGACTGTGCCATAAGGAAGGAGAGGGGCAACGCTGGGTAACTTACTCTAGCTCGCATAGCAACAGCACGCCCCCGACCAACACCAAGTGCAGAACCCTTGCCCTTCAAAATGTGGAAGTCAAATGAATCGGCAAGGGAATTCTTAGCAAAAGAAAATAAGAACACAAACAGGCAGAATAAAATGGTACCTTGATTCTAGCTTCCAAACGCTTGAACATTGGAGCATTCTTGAGCATATCCGGTATTACCATGAATCTGGTAAAAAATCAGCATTAATAAAGATCCACACACACAAAAAAATAATAATAATAAATAATAATAATAATAATAATAAATACATAAATAAATAAAATGAATGAAAAACAAAAAAATAAAATAAAGTAAATTGATGCAAGAAAACAATTTCTAACAGCAAATTTATGTGGTACCTGACTTTGCTGCCACGAATGAAAACATGCTCTAGCTGTGAAACCTTCCCATCCTGAAAAAATTGAACAAAATTAGCAATCAGAAAGAGTTCCACTTAGAAGTTAATTTGTTTCAAGATTTTGCATCAACAATCACTTTGAAATATTTTAGTAGTTCAACTTTTAGCATACCACTCCTTTTCATTCTATCTAATATGAATAATAAGTTTTATAAATTTGAAAACAACAGCTCATTTCAATTCATGTAGACAATACTTGAAAACGACAATTAGAAATTCCAAAGGCACAAAACTAGAGTGAAAATAATAATTGAGCTAAATGCAAAAAGGACAACAAACACAAACTAAACCTAAATATACTCTTAGAAACTTCTAAGATATCAAGCAGGCTTCATTTTTAAGAATCCATTTCTAAAAAATGCATCATAATAGTGACATCTCGTTGTTTTAAAATGAAATCCTAGAGATTGTTTAAATATTAGAAAATCTTGAATTTTACATGTAAATACAACCAAGGACATGCAAGGATGAAGAAATTATAAATACTTCATCTTTTCAAAATTTAAATTGGAACTTTCAACCATGAAAAAATAATAATAATAATAATATTTATTCACCTATGCATCTTTTAAATCCCAATATTGAACTTTGTAAATAAATAAATAAAGAGGAAAATTTCTCTAGTCATTATTATACCAAAACTAATGAGAAATTTTCATTACAAAGATAAAAATGCTTCTCTTTCACTTGTAGAGATTAAAAAAGAAATAAGGAACTAAAAGAAGTCCAAACATATTCAAAGTTCAGACACATAGAATTGAGCATGAGAAAGAAATGACAGACATTATAATTTTTCATTACCATTTACTCACCACTACTTCATTATGCAATATAAGATAGACCTTGATTATAATAACCAAACAACCAAACTAAAAATAAAATCCAAATAACTTAATTTACAATGAAGCGTGGATATGAGAATAAACAGTAATGGGCATCGTCAAAAGAAGAAATAATAGTCCAACGCCACTAATCGAAAATGAAAAGAACTCCTTGAAAATTGTAAACGTGAAACAATATTAAGGACATCGAAACAGGATAATACCCTGACTTCAATTTTGCATACAAAAAAATGAAATAAATCATTCACTTACAATCTTTTACTCTAAACTCTAATATTAAGATCTATCTAGAGTTTATCAAAATATAAATATAAAAACTTGCTATAAGATCTACCAAGAATGTAATAAATACTGAAACGCACAGGAAATTAATTAAAATATGAACATAAATTCAGAAATAATTAAGCACGTTGCATTTTTTTAAAAATATATATCTATACAAGGAATACACACCTTAGCAGTGTAAGTGATGTTTTCAAGCTGGCAATTCCAGTTATCCTCGCACTCCACCATGCTGCCTCTGTAAAGCTCGCCGCTCTTCAGCTCCACCGTCACCACGTGCCCCGACGCCTCGTGCAGTAGCTTCACCGGAATCCCCAAACTCCGACTCATTGTAATTTCTCGCTAAATTTACTGATTTTTCTTCGTTTTTCTTCAGATTTTCCCCAAAATCTGAAGTAGCAATGCCCCTTCCGATAGCGTTTGAAGCGAGGGCAACTGTGTAAATGAAGATATAATGTCTAGGGTTTAGTGTGTGCCCTATGCATATGTGTCATGGGAAATTTTTGAGTTAATTGTTTCAATTTTCGCTAAACTTAGGTCTATATCTTTGATTAATTACTAAACTTTAAAATGTTGAGTTTTGACCGTTGAAATTTAAAAAATATTGAACTTCGGTCATTGAACTAAAGTCTATGTCTTTGATTGGTCACTGAAGTTTAAAATATCGAGTTTTGATCACTGAATTTAAGTCAATATCTTCGATTGCTCACTGAATTTAGATCCACGTATTAAATTGCTCACCGAAATTTAAAATGTCGAGTTTTGGCCATTAAATTTTGGAATATGTCGTACGTCACTCACTAGCATAACTGTTGAACTTTGAAAAATATCGAGTTTGCAGTAAATAATGTAAAATATTTTTCAAAGTTCAATGACTAATGTACAATATTTTTCAAAGTTCAGTGAGCGATGTACAACATTTTTCAAAGTTCAATGGCCGAAATTCAATATTTTAAACTTTAGTGAGCAATCAAAGACATAGACCTAAATTCAATGGCCAAAACTCGACATTTTTTAAAATTCAGTGGTCAAAACTCGACATTTTAAACTTCAGTAACTATTCAAAGACATGGACTTAAGTTCAGTGATCAAAACTCAACATTTTAAAGTTTAGTGGTCGATCAAAGACATGGACCTATGCTCGGTTACCATTGGAACAATTAACTCAAAATTTTTTAAACTTTAAGTTTGTTTGGCAAATATTAAGTTAAAAATAATTATCCCATTTACTTTAAAAGAGAGGATCCAATATTTACTGTTCAACTTAGGACAGCGGTTTCACACTTAACTGGTTTTGTACTGTAGCTGAACTCGTTATGCACTATTCATCACAAAAAAAAAAGTTTTTTTGGAAATAATAATGAAATATGGCAGTATTATTGCTGTCTTTATTGACTTTATAGAACCATTTGCTGACGGTTACTGTAACTTCACTTAAAAAATATCCTTTCACTTCGTTCACTTAAAAAATATCCTTTCACTTCGTTAGATGTTGTAGCTTCCAGAAATGAAATTAATGAGACCACATTATTGTCTCCATTGTTGACTTACACAAGTGAGTTACCGTAGCTATTCCTTCCAAAAAAAATCTTCTCGTGCATCATGAGAGAGTGAGACAAAAATTATGGCAACAAATTGTAGGAATTTTTTATCATGTCAGTTACTATTCTTTCAGGAAGCATTTTATTATTATCCATTTGACCCTTACATGCATACTCATGAGTCATTCACTACTAATCGGGTACAACAATTTTTTCCTTAGATAGTTGATCTTGTGTTTTATATCACATAATATTTTTATTATAAAAATTGTCGCGAAAAAATAATAAACATTAATAAATAATTGATTTTTAAAAAAAAACGAGTTATATGTATTTTTTAAAACACACGTTTGATGTACATTTAACTATTTTCGATATTCATTTAAATCATTCAATGCGTCTATGGCATAGTTCTCGAAATGAGTTTCGAGAGAATATAGAAGATTTATACATTCGACTACCTTACAATCGTCGATTAATTTATAAAGTTAGCATGTTATCGAAATTCTTAATTTTTTAAATGATGTCTCTTTTGACATTAAAAAAATTTAAAAGTTTATTAGAAAATTTTCTAAATGATGTCAAAAATTATTGTCACGAAAAAATAATAAACATTAATAAAATAATTGATTTTTTAAAGAAAAAACGAGATATACGCATTTTTTAATATACACGTTTGATATACATTTAACTATTTTCGATATTCATTTAGATTATTCGATATGTTTATGATATAATTCTCGAAATGCGTTTCGAGAGAATATAGAAGATTTATGGTAGATTTTTATAAAAAATAAATAAATAAATAAATCACTTAGTGAAAAAAAAATTTGACAAAAAAAAACAATAAAGCAACTCTGCGTATCACGAAGCAAATGCGCGGAGTAATTTTGCTCTTGGCATTCAGACTCCTGGATACCAGGAGCAAAATTACTCCTAGGTGCCAGGAGTTGCTCCTGGCACCCAGGAGAAATCTTGCGGAGTTGCTCCGTTAGGCAATTTTTATTTTTTATTTTTATTTATAGATGATGTTTAGTATCAAAAAAAAAAATTTTTTTTCATTAGATGATTTATTTAGTTTTTTTTTTATAAAAATCTATCATAAATACTCTATATTCTCTCGAATTTAATTTCGATAATTATATAATAAATACATTGAATGATTTAAATGAATATCAAAGATAGTTAAACGTACATCAAGCGTGTGTTAAAAAATGCGTATAACTCGACCTTTTTTCTTTAAAAAATCAATTATTTTATTAATGTTTATTATGTTTTCGCGACAATTTTATCAATATAATTTCCTTTTTTCCTTGGTAATTGATATATTTTTTATACAAATCTATTTTATCCTTATATAATGTGACACAGAGTATATTAAATCATGTATATTGTTTATTTCCTAAAAATAGTTGTGATAAATCAAAGTAAAACTTTACACAATGTTGAAAAAAATTAATACTCAGTCAAAAAGATGATGATTAATTTATTTGACGTTATTGAATATTTTAGATGTATATAAATTTTGGAGGATTAAATTCAAATCTATCAAAATTGGGTTATTAAATAAAAATCTCAACCCCATTTAAGTGACAAAATATTATACTTGTGGCTTAGCTTGTGTTTGGCTCCATTAAATTAATTTTTTTCTCATTTTTCTCTATTTTATTTTCAATCGCAGAATCTTCCATAAAATAATATTATACGTAAATTAAAAAATTCATTAAATCAATTGGATATTGAATAATAATAAAAAATTCGACTAATTACACGATTTAATTATATTGAATATAGTTATCCTCAAATAAGCCCTTTATATGTAAAATAACTAGTCAAACTAAAATAATGTTTGATTTATGAGCTCCAATAATTTTGGTTTTTAATTTATGCATTAAGGGAACATTTATCTTATCCCCAGAAAATATATTTCAATTATAGCAACACAAAATTAATGCCAACTAATTTTTCATCTTAATATCTTAACATCTGAAAATTTTTTATATATAAAAGAAATTCGATTGTTTTTAGAAATTTTTTTCTTATTGTTACTTTTTCTTGTCGATCAATTAATTTTTTTAAATAATCTAATAAAAATTTTGACGTCATTCAGAAAATTTCTTAATAAATTTTTAATTTTTTTTAATGTCAAAAGTGTGTTATATATGAAGATTACATTTCTATTTATCATTTTAAACAATTAATCAAATTTGTAGATTTATTGAGAGAACTGAATAAATATTTAGACACGTTAATAATTTAATATTACCTAAAAAATGATATAGCCCGTGCATTGCATAGGCGGAAAACTAGTTTTGAAAGATGGGTGGATAAAAATTAGGGAAAACTACAGCAGCGATCCCTAACCTTTTTCAATTTTTGCAGACTTTATCTTAACTTTCAATTTGTACCAACGAACGTTTCTAACCTTTTGAAAATATGCAGCTGGGGTCCAACCTGATGGAACCGTTTATTTGACCGTTAGTTGACCAAAAAAAAATGATTTTGACCAAATTTGGTAAGGGTAAAATGGTAACTTACTTATATCCATATTATAAAAAATAAAACAAAATTAGAAAAAAGATAAAAAACAAAAAACACCTCACCCCATCCCACCCCCACCCAATAAAATCCACCTATGTTCTTCTTCTTCTACGACAAGGTTCACCAGAAACAGTCACCACGCCACCTTTGACCCACACTGCTGATGCCACTACCAGCTCTGGCACCCTCCACCGCCACCATATTTGCCATTGTACATTTGAAAATAAAAACCAAGAAAACTCACACCTTATTCGAAAATAAAACTCACCTACTGTGATTGTCAAACTATGGCCATCGTCGCCACCCACACAACGTCGCACGTAAATTGATACCACCACTACCATCTCACACTGCCAACAACCTCTACATCGAAAATCCACCCTCATTTTGAAACCTTCTGTAATTTCGAAACACTTAAAATCTAGCAAAAACCCACCCATCAATTTTCAATTTCAAAATCGACAAACCTTAAAGTCAACACTAAAGATGTAAGAATCGGATCTCCACCAATCGCCACCTTCACTAATGATTGTCAAATCCCCACACAACCACAATCAAATCTGATAAAATGATAATCTTTTCATAAATCTGTTGGAGCTTTGTAATAGGTTTGACTTTCATTTAAATCTAATTTGGGTGGTGGCACCGACCTTTGAGCGACAGCGCTGGCATTGTGATGTGGTTGCGATGATCGGACTTTGGTTGGCCATTTCGACCACCGGTGTGGGTGTGAGTGGGGAAGAAGGGAAAGGCAGATCCATTGGGTTCTAGCCATTTTTCATTAGAGAGTGGACCGGGCAGGGTATGATGGGGAAGGATGGGTTGGTTTGGTTTTCTTTTTCTTTTTTTAATTATTTTATGTTAATTTTGTGGAGTTACCATTTTACCCTTACAAAATTTGGTCAAAACCAAATTTTTTGGTCAACTATTGGTCAAATGGATGATTTCCATCAATTTGGACCCCCAACTGCATATTTTCGAAAGGTTATCGACGTTCGTTGGCATAAATTAAAAGTTAGGGTAAAGTTTACAAAAATTGAAAATGTTAGAGACCGCTGCTGCAAATTTTCCTAAAAATTATGGATCTTATCTATTATCTTATTACAATTGTACTACAGTAACAAAGTTAATGACACGCTCTAAATCAAGGTGGACACGTGTTAACAAAAGATTGGATAGTTTGAAAAAAAAAAAATACAAGGCGAGGCACTGCCACCTCACCTTGTCACCCTACACTTGTCAAAATTCCTTGTCGGAGGATCATTATTCATCTTATTATCTTACCACTTCAAGTAAGTTACTTTGATAGCCTCGAATGACTTGCTAGATTGAACCGATGTCCTGAGAATATTCCTCAAGTCTTCAAAAGCATGCATGCTGCACTAGTCATATTTCCTTCATCCTTTTAACCCAACTCATCGAGCTCAAACGAGAAAGCTCACCCTTTCGTCGTAGGTCTAGAAGAGTTCTACCATAGAAAGCCACTTTCCTTTACCTAATCCCACCAACTTCAATAGACATATACCGCTTTCATTAACCATGCATGAAATATCATAGCATGCCATCCATTTTAATCTAATAGTTGGAGAAGGCCTATTGTGTGATTCATCCGATTGAACTCAACGTCATAAGAATCAATCTATAAGTTGCGGACATAGTTGAGTACTTAGTGTTGGAGCATGTATATGTGCAAAAAAATTTCTCATAAATGTGTTACTTTATAGAAGAATTTTTGTTAAATTTCTCGTATTTATAAGTATTTATATTAAATTATTTCAAAATTTATGTAATGAATCTTCACAATAAATTTTTTCTCTTCAATTTTCAAGTGACAAATGACGATGAATCAAATCAAGTTTATCTATAAGCCCACCATCCAGGCTTAGTTTGACTCGTTCAACAAGCCAAGTTCGGCCCATTAGTCAACGAGTCAAGTATGGACAACCTCTTTAACCGAGAGGCCATGGCCTTTTTTGGCCCATGGGACTTGCCCCTATAAGCGAGAGAGTCCATGAAGCCTTGTGAATATAATCATGCTTCATGTACACCGAGTTTGACAATTTGTCACATGACAAACTCTCATTTGCCAATTTTTAAATGAAAATAATAATAATAATAATAAAATTCCAGCCAACAATTTTTTTAAACAAAGGCAATGTCATGCTTGATATCAAGCATGGAGCATAAAAACGGCATTTCCCTTGTAAATATGATATATTGCAAAATAATAATAATAATAATCAATTTTTTTCTTGTAACCCCAAATTAATTAATTGATTAACATGCGGTTTGTTTTTCCATACAATAATCATCTATGGCAAAAAATACAAATACAAAGGAACAAACACACTTTGCTACACAACTGACAACACATATTTTGCAGTCATCTATGGCAAAAAATACAAATACAAAGGAATAAACACACCTTGCTACACAACACATATTTTGCAGTCTTTTACTGCCGTTTATCTTGAGTCCCTGAAATCTCTCCCCTGTTCTTCGGCTTTGCTGGGATAACTTTGGCAGGGGTCGACCGCTCTGATTGAGAGAACTGAATCAAGATTTGCATAAGAATTGTGACAATTGCCAATGCTGCTGCTGAAAAAGTGAGACCTTTCCATGAGGAGAGAAGAGAGGACCACTGGAAAAATTTGAGAGCCCCCAAAACGAGTAGAATTGCCCAACAAACGACAACCTGTTATTGTGAAAAGGCAAGCCGTTAGTTTGACACAACCAATGCATAAAGAGAGAGAGAGAGAGGGAGAGATGCGTGTTTGACTTAGCTTAAAACATTTTACTGTCAAAATAAGCAACTTATTTCCAACTTTCACCAATAAAAATTTCATTTATTTTATACTAATTTAATGCATTTACCAATAGGGACTTCACTGGCCGGCCAGTGTCTTGCAATTGTTCACCAAAGGAACCCTCGGCTGCATGCTTGTCCAATAACTTATCCTAATTCACAAGAAAGCAAACAGAAAAAAGGATCATCACAAGTCACATGCTGCAACCAGATAAATTTTTCGTATTCTTTAGATACCCTCTTTCTCCAATTGTCAACAGTTTCGAAAGAAGTAAATATCAAAACTTAAGGAAACAATTATAAGTGTGCACCTTGGCCGCAAAGGCATCCTTACACCACTGAGCAACGGCATCATCTGTTTCAGGCAAATCCTTCATCAAGTGTCGCTTGAGGTGGACATGCATCTGCACAATGGGAAATTATTAATGTCTAAAGAAAGGGGAAAAAGGAAAAGGAAAAAAAAAAACAGCATCCTAGCACGATGATCAGATTGTCAAAGCTAATTCTTCACAGGTATAAAACAACGGGTAATTTCATTTAGAAACGAATGCTTTTCCAAAATATATTACAATCCTATTATAGAACATTTGCTAGTCCTAGATAACTATAGCGCATATATACCAGGCTATTATGATAAAGAGTACAAATTTATTTAGCTTACATTGCGTGCAGTAAATTCTTCTGATTCCTGACCCATAACATTTGCATTGCTGTAAAGGGGAAATGGCAAAAGGAACACAAAAAGATATCTTTTTCCAGTCTGACTTGACTACGTTATATTTTTTCGTTTATAAGATGCACATACATACTATAAAAACTCTCTACCTGTGCTCAAAAAAACAAAAAAAAATATTCCTAGCTACATTCAACTGCCATTATATTATAACAGGTTTAAGTAACAATAGAGCTCCAAGTTATCAGAATTTGCAGGCTTACCACAGAAGGTTGCCCCTTAAAGAGTCTTATCATGGTAGGTGCAGGCGAAGTTTTGGGGATAGCAACAGTTACATCATAAATGGCCGGAACAAATGTGCGCATATGACTTACTGCAGTCACAAAACCCTGAAAACGAGCAACAGATTTTATTGGGCAAATTGAATAATGTACAACCTTGGAGAACAAAAGGATACCCTCACTCAAGTCAATGCATGATCAAAGCAATTGTATCCTCGAGTATAATAACCATACACACAGAAAAGAAATTAAGCAGTAGCGGTATTGGAAAAGTTACGGTACTTCACAACTTCACATCAAGCACAAAAAAGTTAGTTTATTTTGAGCCTTTATTAAAAGTCAAAGGGAAGCAGTTAATAATTTTGAAAGAATAAATAACAGAGCTGTAACAGGTCAAAGACGTGCAAATTACAGGATACTGTGATGAAAAAATTGCAAACCTATAAGAAGACAAGCAAGGCAAATAGAAACAAATAACGAAATGCTCTTTATTTCAAGCAAGATATTCTGATAAAAATGACTGTTGTTTAGAACATGAAAACAACCCAAAACTCTTGGGTCAAAAGGCTGCGGCAAAGGTGATACCATGGTCCATCAGACTCGCACAGTCGCACTCACTGACATGCTACCAAAAGGTAGTTCAACAGTTAATCCAAGAGAATAAATTGAAACACCACGTTTAGAATTGTTGAAACATGGAAAGGGAAGACAAGAAACAAACCAAGAACTATAAAGACAAATAAAACAGCAGTAGCACTAGATAATTTATCGTTTACAGAAACAGGTGCAGTTGGAAACCTTTGTACGAGGAATCAAAACATTCCTTGGAACAGCCATCCCTGCTGAAGTAGCATATTGTTGAGCAGCCAAAAGCTTTGCTTGAGTAAATCGAGTACCTTCCACAAAAAGTGCCAGCCAAAAGGGCAGAGGGTAATCCCTTAACCGTTGAAGACCTGACTGCAATAGATGTCCACTAACTCCAAATTAAGATTAAACCAAACAGTTAAAGAAGCAAATAACTGGAGAGGAAAACGCATCATAGATAACCAAAAACGACTGGTATGAACATCCACGTAGCCCCCGTTTGGCCCCCATTATTTCTCATTAAATTAAATTAAATTTTTCTCTCTCCTATTTTCAACCACACAATCTTCAATAAAATAATATTACACGTAAATCAAAAACTTTTCTTTTATTTTCAACCACTCATTTTTCTAAAAAACACTATTCAAAACATTATAATTTCTAAATAATGGGGCTCAAACAGGGGCATACATAATGGACAACAAAAAAATTAATCGTTCAAAATACCTTTAAAGTTTCATCTTTTGCCCAGCTTCTTTCAAGAAAAAGATACTCTGAAAACCACATGGACCATCCTATGACCTGCATATATTGGTTGCAACAGCATGCATGTTTATGCATATCTTATTCAATACCTCAAATAAAAGGGTAGGGAGTGAACAAATTAAGGGATGCGATAAATGAACAAGAATACAACAGGAATTTTAAGTCTAGTACTGCTATCTATGAATACTTTTTAGACTTTTTCAGCAACAGCAGAAATATAAAACTTAGAAAGATCTCACAATATGAAACTTAGTAATATCTCACTACATGATTTCGAATACCTTCGAAAGGTTAGTCACCCTGACAGAGCGACCTTCACAGTGATATTAAATACTTATAAACTTCAGATTTGATAAAAACCAATAAAAAACTTAAAGTTATTTCATTACAAGAACCACTGGAGTTTGGTCAATAACATTTCTTGACCATCAAAATAAAGTCAAATTAGTAATGATACAAAAAAACATTATTTTGAAACCGGTCATAGTTTTTCTGGATTTAAATCATCAATCAGTAAAGCACATTTCTCCATTGTCATACACAATAATTTATATGCTGATATGTAATAACGTTCAAGAAGCTGACAGTTCTACAAAGTATAGAGATCAATAATATATAAATAGCCAGTTCATAACAACTTAGAAGGTAGAAGGTGAATTTAAGATAAAAACAAAGGCTCATTTAGCAAATTTGAACAAGAATTGACATAAAATACTTACTGGAAGGAGCTTTGATGATTTTTTCATAACAGCTAAAGTGCTTCCAAGGCAACCTGATCGCTGCCATTAAAAGAAGGATCAATCAGAAGAATTTAACATAAAATGATGATGCTAAAAACAGAATTCAAATCAAGCATTAGCAAGGATATCGCACAATTCCAAAGCTAGTAAAACAATTCTTTTCAAATCTGTCTGTATGTCAGAGTGTCTACTAGTGTATCCATATGTATGAGCAAGAATCTGAATTAAGAAACATTCCATACCCACTTTATCCCACAATGAATGTTCTAATTTTACTCAGTATGACCATTTCTTTCTAATTCAGTTCCATGTCTAAGAAAAAAATATTGGCTACATCAAGACCAATATCGACCATGTTTAATTGCTCACACCAATGCCTAAGGGTATATTTACATATTCTATGCAGATTAAGGTGCAATTGGCTAATTAATTCTCTTAATTGAGTTCACCTGGAATTAAATGGTATTTGGGCCTTTAAAAGTAGCTGGTTTTCAAGCCTTACAAAATTGGTTTATTGCTTCCGAAATTGGGAACCCGGTTTTTTAGAAAACCAATTTATTTCTTTAAATATTGTTTCTCAGGTTTATCTAAAAGTCTTTAAGCCAGGCCTTCAGAAATTAGGTTTACATTTCACTTCGTCGACTGTTTTCTTTAATCAGCTTCAACCCCTTCCACGCATGGGACATGTCCGTTTCCATATCCTCTTCTTATGAAGGATCTGAGACAGATCCCACACACGTACTTGTATCATATGTGCTTCATTTCAAATGAAGAGTCTGAGCATCATAGCAAGCATTACATGATAAAGCATAGAGTGAACATTTTTCATATCTTAAAAAGGATAATATTTAAATTTTGCTTCCGATTTCAACACAACATCCAACATTTGACAATCTTTTCCTTCTATTTTTCGACTTATCAAATTCCCGTCTGGAAATTTTTCTATGCTCTGCAACCTCCGATGAAGACTCTGGCGTGACCTTCGGTTATTGAGAAATGGAGCTCCCCTCACAATCCAAAATAACTCAGTCACCACACCCCCACACAATCGGCCTCACGCCACAAATCAGATCCTCCGACCAACCAATTCACACACAGGCGGCGATTTCTGTGGAAACCCTAGAGCCGCCCAACCGATTTCCACCAGTTCCGGCCAGAGTTGGAGCAGACGCGCCTCACCGGCGGCATCAGCAGGGACCGGCGACCCCCGCCGGTGACCTGCCTCCCACACGCGCCGCT